GTGGCTTTCAAAGTGACTACGATGAGGACGATTATGGTGAAAGAACGTCTATTACCGAAAGCTATATCCGATTTGACAATTTCGAACGAGGAGGAGTTGCAAAAGCAGCTTCAAGCAAACCATTCACAGAAAGCGGAAACCTCATTGTTCAATTCGAAAGTTTCACCCGTGTCACTTGTTGAGAACCCGATCAACGTCACTTTCACCGTGTTTGCGGGCATACCAAAGGGACGTTCAAAATTGTGGTTGGTTTATCGGCACGGATCGGACATAGAATTTGAAGAATGTGCTCCGTCAAGCGTTACGGACTTGACGAAACACTCCTCTGAGTTCACACAAAGGGATATTTATAAACAAAGTAAAGGTAACAATTTTCAACAGCTCAAGTTTCAATGTATACTGATCACGCAGCACATAGCGATGATATTGGGTTTGTTCAATGCTTACGATCACACTTTGTCCATGGAAGAAGAGGAAAGCGTATTTAAGCATGATTTGAAGCACGGAATATTGGGATCGAACCCGGTGCAATCAGATGATGATGAGATGAAGCAGTTGAAAGAGAAATTGCGTACCAAGTCCAGGCACGTATCGGTGAAGCTCAATGTGGGTTGGAAAGCTATACTGCGAATTGGGGAGCGTATTCGCTTAGTCGGTAGATTTAGCGAAAGCTTAGAAAACGCCATAGTCTGTGTGAGGAGAACTGTTGACACTGGTCCAGGCGAGGGGGAAGAGATAAAGTTTCTAAAAGCAATGGATGATGGTATCAAGGGTTTTGAATTGATAAAAGACTCGGTCACTTACGATGACTCCGGCATATACGAGTGCAAAGATAATCTGTGTGAAAATTGTGGTTTTCGATCTGGTATGGCCCCTCGAAATATCTATGTACTTCCGGACGAAAATATGTTGTTTGTAATGTTAAATCATCAAACTCTGACCGAGAATGGTCCGTATGAAGCAAATTTCATCCAGTGCTTACGAGGTATTCATCCATATTTGTTTACAGAACAAAATGTGAGCGTGCGATGTGCCTATCCAATATCCCTATTTGAGCAAATGAGGCCAACAGTCGATTTGATCTATCGAATGTTCGACACGATTGAAAGAAGGTTGGTCAGTCTGAATACCAGCAAGGAAACGGAGGTTAAAAGCATGATTAACGACAAACCATTTTCGATCGTCGGATATTCCATTCAAGGACCCACACCTGAACAGTTGAGAGGTGACTTGAGATTGACATGCCGGTTTACGTATGACCGCATTCAACTGGTAGGTCACGATTCCAGTGGTTTACAACTACCAGTCTTTCTAGAGAAGAAACGTGATGTCAGTGCAAAACTGATGCTCGCTCCGCGCATATTTATTGAGTATTTGTCGTCAGACAAACGTCATCTACTAGACAATTTCCTTCATCTAAAAGCGTTTAGCCCAGTGAGTGCACAACTCTTTCATAAATCCGGTTCCTCATCCAGACTGATAGAACAAAATGTTAAAATCAATGTGGTACAAAATCTCGGTGTACCTCGTGGACAATCGCTCGCTTTTACCATTTACAAATTCAATGGTCTACAAACAGAGGACTGTTTTCAAAAAGAGTCCATGTCCTTGATTGAATCGAATACACCGCCCCTCGTAAAAGAGCATCCAACCTATCGGACATCGAAAGGCGCAAACTATGAGAACACAACATACGTGTGCACACTGCAACCGGAACACATCGCTCTAGCTTTAGTTGTATTCACCGTGTTCAATGAAGATGAATTGGCAGTCAGAAAGGCTATCATACAGAACATTGTGGGTTATGTACAGTTTTGGCTCGAAAATCCCAGTAGTAAGGAGGATAGACAATTGCAGATCAGTATAAATACACGCGCAGATTGGCGCGTGCAGAGGCTAAACATCGGTTGGTTTGGATCTGTGCCCATGAACAGGAAATGGAAAATGTTGGTAACGCACCAATGGCTCACAATATATGAAGGCAGATTGCAAAGCGCTCGATTCATTTGTTACTATCAAAGTGATAGGACAAGCTCCAAAGAAGAGTGCTATAATCGTTTTATTGATTCATTCATTTATTTCGAGCCCGACAAACCGGCTGAAATGTCCGATTCCGGAATCTACCACTGCGTGTATAAACCATGCGCTGGACAATGTGATGAGCATTTACTAGCTGCGCCTCGTCGCCTACTAGTCATACCAAATGCAAATGTGCTAGCAATCTATTACAACCGAGAGCTGTTGAACGAGGGTGAACCAGTGAAAACGGACTGGAAGGAATACAACAAAAACAAAGAGCCCGTCTTGCGGGAGGGTGAGAG